GATCTGCCTGCCTTGTCCTATAGCTTCGACTCCCCCGGCTCAGGTGATCGATCCTCCAGCCTCAGCCTCCTGAGTAGCTGGCAGTCCAGGGCCATGCCACCACACCCGGGTAATTTTCTGCTTTGTGTGTGTGTGTGTGTGTGTGTGTTTGTGTGTGTGTGTAGAATCAGGATTTCACCATGTTGCCCAGGCTGGTCTTGAACTTCTGAGCTCAAGTGATCTGCCCGCCTCGGCCTTCCAAAGTGCTGGGATTACAAGTGTGAGCCACCATGCCTGGCCAGTTGCTGACATTTTTAAATGTTGTGCCCCAATCACAATTTTTGTGTAAGACCTTTGGTTGTTACTGTGTGTATTTTGCATAGCACAGAGATTTTTTTTAACATACACTATGTTATAGGATAACAGAGCAGACTATACTGTGTTTATAGCCGTGACACTGGATGAGGCCATTCAGTGGGTGAGTGTAGATACAGAAGAGGCGAAGGTTTGTATCCAGGGACACACCAACTATAACAGGTCTAGGAGAAGAGGACCCAGCCTAGGAGCTGCCTAGTGAGATGGGAGGAAGCCCAGAAGACCAGGGTGTTCTGGAAGTAAAGTGAAGAAAGTTCAAAGAGGCTTGAACGCCCACATCTGACGCTGCAGAAAGACCAAGGAAAAGAAGAGGAGTCACTGAGAAGTGACCACTGAATTAGTACTATGGTGGTCTTGAATAATTTTAATAAGTGCGATTTTGGTGGAGTAGCAGCAATAAGCCTAACTGGAAAGAATTTAATAGAAAAAAAGGAAAAGAAGAATACATTTAAAAAATAATCATGGAATAAATTTGCTTTTAATACATGTCTTTTTCAAATAAGCTTTGTCATTAAGTGCATATTTTTGTCTTCTTTGGTATCTGATAGATCAGGATCTGTTTATAATTTTTAAAGATTACTATAGAGTTCTGGCCAGGCATGGTGGCTCCTGCCTATAATCCCAGCACTTTGGGAGGCTGTGGCAGGAGGATCACTTGAGAGCAGGAGTTCAAGACCAACTTGGGCAACATAGCGAGACCAGCCCCCTTTGTGTGTGTGTGTGTGTGTGTGTGTGTGTGTGTGTGTGTGTGTGTGACCTGGTCTCACTCTGTCACCCAGGCAGGAGTACGGTGGCACTATCTCGGCTCACTGCAACCTCCTCCTCCTCAATTCAAGCAACTCTCCTACTTCAGTCTCCTGAGTAGCTGGGATTATAGGTGGGAACCACCATGCCTGGCAATTTTTTTTGTATTTTCAGTAGCATTTTGTATTTTCAGGAGACGGGGTTTCACCATGTTGGCCTGGCTAGTCTCGAACTCCTGACTTCATGTGATCCGCCCTCCTTAGCCTCCCAAAGTGTTGGAATTACAGGCGGGAGCCATTGTACCCGGACTTTTTTTTTTTTTTAAGATTACTTTAGAGTTCTTACTATGTGCCTGACATTCTGTTTAAGAGTGCAGATGCTAGAATTGAGACAGACATACTCGTGAATTCTGGTTCTGCCACTTACTAGTTGTCTAAAGTAAGGTTTACCCTTTAGATTCCTAAAATGAGGTTAATATTCTAACTCGGTCGTTGTCAGGTTTAGGTAAGTGAAGTGCTTAGCATGGTGTCTGACACACAGAATGGCTCATGAATGTTATTATTAATAGATTCAGGCTGGGCACGGTGACTCACAGCTGTATTCCCAGCACTTCGGGAGGCCAAGGTGGGTGGATAGCTTGAGCCCAGAAGTTAGAGACCAGCCTGGGCAACATGGTGAAACCCCACCTCTACAAAAAAAAAGTGCCAAAAATTAGCCAGGCGTGGTGGTGTGTACCTGTGGTCCCCGCTTAAAGTTGGGGAGACAAAACAGAAAATCAATTAAATAAGTATGTAAATGGTGATGAACAACTAGTGCCAAAAGAGACTGAGACACCTTGGAATTAAGATGACCAGGCAAAGTGAGATTTTACATAGAACTTAAAGAAAAATTGTTCTGAGAAGGGATTCTTTTTTTTTTTTTTTTTTTTTTGAGACGGAGTTTTGCCCTTGTTGCCTAGGCTGGAGTGAAATTTCGCAATTTTGGCCCATGGCAACCTCCTCTGCCTCCCAGGTTCAAGCGATTTTCCTGCCTCAGCCTCCCGAGCAGCTGGGATTGCAAGCATGCGCCACCACACCCAACTAATTTTGTATTCTTAGTAGAGACTGAGTTTCTCCATGTTAGTCAGGCTGGTCTCAAATTCTCGACTTCCGGCGATCCACCCGCCTTGGCTTCCCAAAGTGCTGGGATTACAGGTGTGAGCCACCGTGCCCAGCCAGGATTCTTAACTCTTGCAATATACCTGCTACTCCGCATGGGGCCGTAAGTACAGTCATGTGTTTAAGCCTCACCACCCACTATGATGAGGCATTCTTCTTCCCGGTTCATGGGTGAGAAGCTCTGAGATGCTTATTCGCTTGCTCTGGGCCACCAGTTAGCAGGCGGCTAGAGTCAGCCTGGGCGTGCATCCTCTGCAAAGTCCATGCTTGGTGGCGGCAGAGCAGCAAAGCAGGGAGGTGCGGGTCAAATCCACTCTCTGCCATTTGCAGGTGATAATAAGAAACACACAAAACATCCATAGCATGTAAAGCCTCGTTTCAGCCTGATAATGTACGTCATCTAGAGAACTACAACAAAGCAAAAAAAAAAAAAAAAAAAAAAAAAAAAACCCAAAGAAACAAGCTGCATGTTTTTCCTCTTGACCTTTTTTGCCCTGGGTAGAGTTAATTCGTGCCCAAAAGTGGTTCAAGAGAAGGTGAGTGAGAAACAAAGGTGGGGAATTATCAACAAATGCGTATCAAGAGGTGACTGTGCTTCTGGGGAAATAGTTACAGTCCAGTGTGTGTTCTGTTCCCCCACCGAGCTGGCTGATCTGGGTTTTCATCTCTTCATGGGCTACATTGCTGCAATCCTGGTTCCTGTATAGTTCCTGCTGGGATACCTAACAGGAGGGCAGGCATTGAGATTTCCAGAATGACTCCATTCTGGCTGAGCCTCTCATTCAAGCTAAGAATGGAAGGCCACAGCTGGCCTGCAGGGCATGGTTCTGAGGAGCTGCCCAAATCCGTCTCCACCACCTGGCCATTAAGAGTTCTCAAAGAGTCTCCTTAAGTAGACATAGTTTAACCAGCAGAGATACATTGTCATTGTCGTTTTCTTAGAGTTCAATTTCTGGAAGAGAATGAGATATATTTTATGCTAGTCATCAAGTTAGCTACTTAAAGCATTAGCAAGTACAGTCTATTCACCCACTGTCACCTGGTAAAGGCTGTGACTCTGAAGGATATACCCAGGACAGATAAATGTTGATGGGTTGAGAGAAAATGAAACATGTGTCTTTGTCAGGCTTCTGTGAGATTTGGAAGGAGGGCCTTGATGGGGAGGTATATATGGTTCCCAGGGTTGTCATAACAAATAACCACAAACCGAGTGGCTTCAACAACAAACATTTATGCTTTCTTAGTTCTAGGGGTCAGAAGGCTGAAATCAAGATGTAGAAGGGTTGGTTCCTGCTGGACATTTTGAAAGAGTGTTCTATGCCTTTGTTCTAGTTTCTGGGAGTTGCTGGCAATCTTTGGTTTTCCTTGGATTGTAGAGGCAGCTCTCTGGTCTCTGCCTTTGACTTTACCAGCTGTTTTCCTTGTGTCTCCGTCTCCGTGTCTCTTATCTTCTTATAAGGACGCTGGTTGTATTTTATTAAAGGCTTATCCAGGATGACCTCTTCATAACTAATTGCATCTGCAATAACTCTACTTTCGAATAAGGTCACATTATGAGATTCTGAAAATAACATGAATTCTGGGGGGACACTCCCCGACCTGGTAAAAGAGAGAAGCATAAAACCATGAGACTTTGTTGTTTGGGGACAGAGAATAATGAGGAAAGGAGAGGAAGAGTCTTGGAGACACAGCTGAAAAGATACAGCATGCTGTAAAGCAGGCGGGGTTACATGAAATAGATATCCCATCGAATGGGGAACTCGAGGAGAGTTTAAAGAAGGAACTATTTCAGTGAGTGTCAGGGTTAAGTAAAAAATCAAACAAACTAGAAGGCAGCAAAGCCTTCCCTGGTAACAGTGGCGGGGCTCCGTTTTCCCCAATCCTCCTGCCCTTCCCCTTGTCAGAGCTGCACCATCAGGGCCTCTGTCATCTGCCTGCTCCATGGTGCCCTTCAGGTCCCGCCCTGGGCCTCCCTGATGCTGAGATGCAGGTGCCTATGGGACCTTGCCTGGCCTTCTGGCATGTGTGACCTGGAAATACAGGTGAGTCTGTGGGGTTGCACTTCGCTTGTAGAATGAGGGCTGGAAGGCCACTGGTGCACATTCCTCGTTTTCCTCCCCAGTAGACTGTATGAGGTATATTTCATAAGATTTCGCAGAAGATTCTGAGGGTGAAGCGCCCATTGAAAACAGCAGTGGCCCACTCAGGAACTCATCTTTGTTGGCTTTGAGCCTCGCTGTTGTTCACTCTTCCTGCCCCTCATTCCTCTTCTCTAAGCTGAGTTTCCTAATAGACCACCTGCACCCAAGCCTTTGTCTCAGGCTTTTCCTTGGCAGAAGGTGTAAGGGGCATGCAGGGTTACTGGGGGAAAAGGGAAGGGGAGAGGCTGGGGAAAGAGCAGGAGCAAGCTGATGGTGAAGACAAATTGCTGTCTCCTGGGAAGAAATCAGTTACTGCCAACTGTAGGACCAGCAGGTAACAGGGAGGGAAGTACACAGTCCAGACCCAGCCTCCTCCCACCCGCTGGCCCCTGTGAAGACATTCTATGGCGGAACCAAACCCCAGAGAGTGAGGAAGGAGCTCAGTTAGTAGAGGTCCACCTCCCAGTACACAGAGCAGGTGGGAAGAATGGAGGGGCGAGCTGGAATCAAACAGCGTAGGCCCAGCATGACTAGGTTTGTTCACATATCAGTTTTCCCTCTTACTGACCAGAGCCTTACACAATTGACACAACACTGGCGTAATTCATAAGGTCATCTTTTCAAATGGGTAAGTGCTTCTAAGATGAAGTTACTTTTCCAACTGCACAGAAAGAACTTTTCTGCTACCTAGATTCTTATATTTATTTACCATCATTGAGCATAATGGTCTCAGTAAGCCTGGCCATTGTCTGAGTTAAACAGCCTCATATATTAGGAAGAAAGTGGACCAGAATTCAGAACAACCCTGATTCAAATCCCAACTTTGCTACTAACAAGTGATGTGCTGTTAAGCCGGTGTCTTAACTCTTCCGGGTCTCAGTTTCTTATCGTAAAATGGGTTTAAAATCTCAGCCATATATCACAAATTTTTTTGTGAGGATTCAATGGAACAAGGTATTATAGATGGTGGCTTTTAAGAAAATGCTCATTTGGGTAAGTGCCGCTATTTTCTTACATTCATAGATACTGATGGATATTATTAATGAATTATACAGCATTCTAAACATGAGAAGATTTCTCTTAAAGTTTTAGTTGGATAATTGCAATATTTTATCGGCCCTGTCGTTTTGTGATCAACCATATAAAATATCCAAGAGTTAATAGTAAGTAACAAATGAAGAAGGTGTTTTCCAAATGCACTCAGAGCTTAATAATCTTTAAACCCAAATTGGTGGAGATGAAGTAATTTATGCCCAGACTTTATGAGACAGTTTGTCTGATTGCTGATAGTGATGAATCACTGAGGGAAAGACCCACATTTCTGTGCTGCTGGAGGCTTTTACTTAACTCCTGCGTCAGCTGATCAGCGTACAAGCTCACTGGCAGTGACTTCTCTGTGGAAACCCAGCATGAAGGGACTTCTCATCTCGTGGCTTGCTCTCAGCTATTTGAAAATGTTTTATGAGACTCTGTGACCCATATGTGCTGACGGAAGAATGTGCTCTTTCTGAGGTGCAATCCGTCTTGCATCCAATAATCAATCTGAAATTTTGTGAAATAGAACATGTTTATTTTTTTCCTTATCCTTTGTGGAAAATCTGCCCAGTGCTCTTTGGAGCCATGGTGTCATGTAGAGGAAATGTCTCCTGCCTTGTAAATCATTTTTCCTCCTATTTTCTTCCTCTTTCCCAAACAGAATTTTTTTTTTTTTTTTTTTTTTTTTTTTTTTTTTTTGATTCACCTTTTTATTTTTTTTTTTTTCGCTCTGTTACCCAGGATTGCAGTGGCATGATCCTGGCTCAGTACAAACTCCACCTCCTGGGTTCAAGTGATTCTCCTGCCTCAGCCTCCCAAGTAGCTGGGACTACAGGCACATGCCACCATGTCCGACTAATTTTTTGTATTTTTAGTAAAGACAGTGTTTTACCATGTGAGCCAGGATGGTCTCCATCACCTGACCTCATGATCTGCCCGCCTTGGCCTCCCAAAGTGCTGGGATTACAGCTGTGAGCCACGGCCCCAGGTCCCCAAATAGGTTTTTTTTTTTTTTTTTTTTTTTTTTTTTTTTTTTTTTTTTGGTTAAGGTGAATGAGGATAATGAGAAAAAGAGAACTTAATGAAAAGGAAACCATGGATACCAGTTTATAATACTAGCCTTATTTTTTTTTAAAGGAAAGCAATGAGGTTGAAGCAAATTGGATAATAAAAAAATAAGAAATATTATCTAAGTAGTAATGTCTATATTTTCTCTCTGGATTAGATAGTTGTTAAACCATATATTTAATTTGTTGAACATTTTGTGGTTATTGCTCTGTTTGTAAAATGATTGCCGGTTTAAAGTCTCATTCAGAAGAGGAAGCCAGGGAACATTGTAATAAATATGTATTAGTCCTGAAGTAGTGTTTAAACAATAGAGCTGACAGTTCTTAGCAGGGCTCTGGTGTTACAACCAAGAATTAAGACACAACAGAATTTAAAATAGGTCTTATATAAGAAATTTTTTCTCAGGGGTGTATATTTTGAATCTGTTTTCAGTGAACAGAGAAGGAAGATGCTGAGAAATGCATTTTTGACTGGGAGAAGTGAAGGAGACACATGGAAGGAGACAAGAGATGAATCAAATATTTTCTTTAAAAAGAGAAGTCACAAAAAACCTATTAGCAATTTGAGATTGGGCGCTATGAGTACCATTGCTTTTGGGACTCTGCCAACAGAAATTTTTCTAAATTAGTTTTTAAGTGACAAGAATTATAGATATTTATCATGTGCAACATGTTGTTTTGAAATATGCATACATTGGGGAATGGCTAAATTGAGCTAATTAACATATGCATTACCTCACATACTTGCGTCTGTGTGTGTGGTGAGAACTCTTAGAATCTACTCTTCTCATTTTCAATAGTACAACCTATTATTATTGACTATATCACCATGTTGCACAATAGGTCTCTTGAACGTTTCTCCTATCTAACTGAAATTTTATAACCTTTGACCAATATCTCTTTGTAAAAATTCAATGGGGATTATTGGTCAGAGGTCCTTGGGAAATCGACCAGGCTCCTCACCGTCCTATACTTCTCTTTTATAGTTCAGTGTTGCCTGCCATAGAATTGTTGAAGCCCTTCCTCTTCCTAGAATTAGAAAGTCATTCTGGAGAAAGAGGCAGGGTCTAAGGAATAACTCAGTCTTGCTCAAGACAGTGCAGAGGGGGAACCTGAGTTATATTTCATTTGTGCCTCTCTTACCTCATCCTTGTCCTAGCCCTGAGAGGCAACTAGTGCTGTCGGAGAGCTCTGGGATTTAGGCAAGACAGCAATTCGATCTGGACACCTCCCAGGACCATGATGGCTGGGAGCCCACACTGGCTCAGGTGTGGCAGCAGCTCCAGCAAAGAGAAAGTACTGGTTCTATGCCTGAGCTTCAACTGTGCAAAGTGACAGTTTACCCCTATGACTAACATATACTTAAAACACCCAAAATGCACCTGCAACTGATTAGATCTCCCAGAGTTAGCCCAGGCTGATCCACGTGCCTGCTCGAACAGCTGAGAATTTGTTTTCAGAACTGTGTGGTCTGACTGTCTCTCAAGAGGCTTATGGGTGCTTGGCTTGGTTTTCAAATATATTTTCTGTGGTCCCCTCTAATTCTGACCATCTATCTATCCCCACTCTCTGGGTCCTGAGATCCACCCTTCTGTTCTGTTTGGTGATCAGACAATGACTCCCGATCTTCTGTTCCTGTGAACAGAATGCCCAGATACTAGATCACAGCTGGGCTGTATCTTCTCCATCAGAGGAAATGAGATTGTTCTTATAAAAATGTTAGGAGGTAGGTGTCTTGACTGCTTGGATTTGGCATATATAGATAAGGCTGTTTCCCATCCTCCCCAGGTACAGCTCCTTCTCCACTCCCCAAAGCACCTTGATTATTTACTGCTTTCCCTGCCAGTATCCACAGAGCATGATTTACACATTTTGTCCTCATCTGACTACAGGCTTCATGAGTCCAGGGACAGCGTCTCATTAGACATCGGCCTCTGCAGCACTTCACCTAGTGCCTGGGACTTCAGAAGGAATTCTTAGCTGAATGAATGAGTGAATATCAAATGTGTAACTATCAAAGGGCATTCATGGGAATTTCTGCTTCTCATCTGAGTAGAAGGTATTTTTCTTGACGCTCAAGCATCTTTTTTGCTAGCCATTGAAACTGCATCAGGAAGACATTGTGATAACTGAGGCATGGCCAGAGGAACAGATCCAGAGAAGAGACATTGCCATGAATCACACCTAGGTACTTGTTTAGATAACAAAGGGTAACACCAGAGTTAGTAATCAGGTAGACTAGACAGACTGCCTTATTACAAAAGCACAAAATGAAGAAATAATTGTTAGTTGGGAGCCTGTTGCTTTAGAATGTAAGTGAAAATGTTGGCAAATTATATTTATGTTGGATAAGATCCTTAGACTATTATCCCAGATATATTGTAAAATTTTTATGACTCAGTGTAGCGTATCCATGGGGTTGACTCAAGAGTATCATCATGTGGCAGAAAGATTCTTACAATATGTTCCTCCACTGCTGTCTTGTGGGTGGTTTCTGAATGAAGCATTTAAGTGCTCTGGGCTTAATTTTTGTTATAGAAAACAAATAGGCGAAGTTGTGCCTAAAATCTTTCCAATCTTTAAAATATAATGATTTTTATACTTTTAAGTGGTTTCAAAAAACACACAATCATTCAGAGTGCTATTTTCGTTTTAAAGAAGCTCCAAATATACTTCTTTCCATTAATATAATTTAAATATTTAAATAAAATTTGTTGTATGTTTAATTATTTATTATAAAAAATTAATATATATATATATTTTTTTTTGAGATGGAGTCTCATTCTGTCACCTAGGCTGGAGTGCAGTGGTCTGATCTCGGCTCATTACAACATCTGTCTGCTGGGTTCAAACGATTCTCCTGCCTCCCTTCCCAAGTAGCTGGGATTACAAGCATGTGCCACCACACCCAGCCAATATTTTATATTTTTAGTAGAGACGAGGTTTCACCATGTTGGTCAGGCTGGTCTCGAACTCCTGATCTCAAGTGATCCTCCCGCCTTGGCCTTTTAAAGTGCTGGATTACAGGTGCAAGCCACTGTACCAGGCCAAAAGATTAATATTAATTAGAAATCAATTAGATACACTGTACCACAATGATGTTCTCATCACAATTTGCTGAACAACCATTTGTCAGGGCTGGTAGGAGTGGGCTACCTCTCTCTGGAGCTGTGAGAGCCCCAGAAGCCTTTATTTACAACCCTGGAGGGAAAAGTGATAAGCACATCACAAGGAGGAAGCAGGGAAAAGAGCTGGAGGGGGAAAGCAGTCACTCGTATGTGACTTCTTCCATGTAATTGTTCCTCTACCGTGATCCCCTCCATCCAGCCAGTAGGAAGTGTGGAGAAGACAGAGATGAGTTACCAACGCATCGTGAGAAAATTGAAATGCACGGGTTCCCTGTCCTTCCTATCTCCCGTTATTACCCCAGTGTTCCCAATTGTGCAACAGTGTGACCTTACATCAGACACAAAAAAGAGGGAGTTTGGCAATGACGTGATAAAACCTTCTGACGGAAATATAATTCCCTTTGCTTTAAAAAAAAAAAAGTATAAATGATGTACAAAAATTATGGTCTAACTTGAGCATTCAATTCCATTGATACACAGTATATGCTACCAATGTCTATTTAAAAATAAGATTTTGCGGGCTTTCTAATCTTGTTTAATAATGAGGAAGATGGTACAGCTTGGCTTTTCCCTGTAAGAATGCTGAAACAGGTTCTGATAAAAAAAAAAAACCAACACAAGCCAGACAGCTTCCTCTTTCCTCTGTGTTTCCCTTCTTCCACAGCTTTGGGCTCTTCCAGAATACCTGTTACCTCAGATTAGGGTGGGATGCCTTTGAGATAGTCCCACAGAGGGGAAACTAAGCTTTGGATGGTTTGATGTTATCAAGGCCCCGTGCTAGCTGCTTGCATCCATGATCTCATGATGGCCATGCAAACATTTATATGAGATAAATTCTCCTTGACTGGAGCCATACTCTTATCTTCTTGTCAATCTCTGCTTAATTATAATCAATGTCATGGGAATTTCATAACTGATTCAGGATTTTTTTCAGAGGGAAGCTGGGCTGTGCATTTGTGGACAAATTCTCCCTGAAATCTCAGAAAGTCCAAAGTTGAATTGCCTGGTATATGGCTGTCTTGGCATACTATCTCTGAACAAACTGGTTTTATCTGGTGTTTTGTTCAGAGTGTCAGTGAGGGTGTATAGTAGGTGGCAGATGTAGGAAGAAGGCAATTTGATGAATGACAGCTATAAAATGAAACAAGGAAGGAACATCACTAAATTTGTGTTCAAGTTACTTCTGCCATTTGAGGGGTCCTAGGTTGGAAGTGACAAACTGATAGGGTCAGAGAAATGAATCACTATGTTTAGAAGTGTCAAGGTTGACTGGAGTTCTTTCTGAATAATAAAAAGAAAGCTTTATCACATCATCAGCTTTGACTGGAAGTGGAAAGAAGACAGAGTTGAACAATTGCCCAGAGAAAAACTGATTTTGTACATACTTCACAAGCTAACATAGACCATTCCTTGCAAAACCCTTCCTTTGAGAAAAATTGCACATGCTCTCCATCTCCCTGATTTGATTTATTTGCACTGTCTAACAATCTCCCCTCCCTTCCCCTCCCCTCCCCTTCCCCTCCCCTTCCCTTCCCTTCCCTTCCTCTCCTTCTCTCTCTCTCTCTCTCTCTCTCTCTCTCTCTCTCTCTCTCTTCCATTCTTCTTTTTTTCCCCGAGTCTCACTCTGTCACCCAGGCTGGAGTGCAGTGGCCCAATCTTGGCTCACTGCAAACTCCGCCTCTGGGTTCAAGCAATTCTCCTGCCTCAGCCCCCTGAGTGGCTAGAACTACTGGGAAGTACCCCCATACAGGCTAATTTTTGTATTTTTAGGAGAGACAGGGTTATACCATGTTGGCCAGGTGGTCTCGAACTGATCTCAAAAGATCTGCCCATCTTGGCCTCCCAAAGTGCTGGGATTATAGGCCTTGCCCTGCCTTGTCTAACCATTTTATGATGCATATTATTTTGCCCCTTCATTTCTCTTGCAGAGTCCAATATGAAGTATTGAAAAGAAATTGGATATCTCAACTTCTCTTTAAGACACAATCCTAATGTTTTGTTTTGTTTTGTTTTGTTTTGTTTTGTTTAAAGCCATGAAAACAAAAAGTACCAAGTCTGTGCCAGGTTTTCATTTTGTTTTATGTGTGTGTGTGTGTAATAATAATGAGTTACTTCATATGAGCTTCCAGATTCACTGGTTCTGGCAGAGAGATATTTGTGCAGCTCTTACACAAGCTCACTCCTGACTAGCTGAGGTAGGGCATCCAAACTACAGCTGTGGAAAAACAAAACTAACTGAAATAGACATAACACTCACATTTTTTATTAGCGTTGTTGCTTTCACCAAATGCTTGTTCAGCTCTTAGTTGTCGTTCAAAACCTGCTCAGGCATTGCCTTGTCAATGAGCCTCTTTAGCCACACTTCCTACTCCCTCTGCTCCCCTCATGCCTCATTTTCCCTATACTCTTTCTAGACTTTGTGCGTATTTCCACGTTGAAACTGTCCTCCACGTTCTGTTTATGTCTCTGACGCTTCTACTAGTACGTGAATATCTAGAGAGAATAGATGTGATTTTGCTGGTAGCCCTCCACCTAACAATGAATGGAAAGAGTAGGAGCAAAATAAGTGGATTTTTACTTGACCTGACTTCAGTCATTTTCATAGAGTGCACCGGCAGTTCCAGAAACATACTGTTCTCTTGGTGCAGAATATCTGCCATTAATGTTTTATTTATTTTCTGACTCAGAAAATTTCTTCAAAGCCGGTTCTGATCTATTGTGAAATATCCTTTTTGTGAACCACTTCCCATGCCATCCCTTAACACAGATATGCACATAACCCAGGCAGAGTGTTTCTTTGTGGGTTCTAGGCAGTGATGGGAAATGAAAATACTACATTGCATGAGTTTTAAAACCAAACTTTTTTTCTACTACTTCTCCTTTTTTTTTTTTTTTTTTTTGAGACAGAGTCTCACTCTGTTGCCCAGGCTGGAGTGCCGTGGTACGATCTCAGCTCATTGCAACCTCTGCCTCCCGGGTTCAAGTGATTCTCTTGCCTCAGCCTCCCCGGTAGCTGGGATTACAGGCAGGAGCCACCATGCCTGGCTAATTTTTGTATTTTTAGTAGAGTGTTTAGTAGAGTGTTTCACCATGTCGGTTAGGCTGGTCTCAAACTTCTGACTTCATGATCTTCCTGCCTCAGCCTCCAAAAGTGCTGGGATTACAGCTGTGAGCCACTGCACCCAGCCTTCTACTACTTCTTGAACTGAAATAAGGGAGTATTTCACGATCGATGACATCTTATGGTTGGCAGTGTTTTTTTTTCTTTTTGAACAGTACCTGAAATAATGTGTCTTTGATGATATCCTAAATTTGTTAAAAGATAGTACTTATAAAAAAAGTCGTACTGGTAGCCAGGCCAGCCCTGCCAGGTTATATGTAAATTCGGGATATGTTCCAAGTGCTACGTTAAAAATAAACCAAAACAGAAACAGACTTTGTAGAATAGAGTGAAAGGGCGAGCCTTGAAGGATCAGGGGCAAAGTTCACAGGGTATTCATTGTTCTGTCCCTGGCATCTGATCTACTACGTACATGGCACGTATCTATCACTTAAAACACAAAAATAATTGCTCATGGTTTTGAGTCCCTGCTATGTAGAAGTCACTGTGTTTTAAGTATTTTTCATATGTGAGCTCATTTAATTCTCAGGATAACTCTTTGAGTGGGTTCAATTATGATTCCCATTTTTCTGCATAAAGTCAACTGAGGATAGATAGGCGACTGGCTCTAAGTCCTGTAGTTAGTAAGTGACAGAGCTCTGCTGGGTCTCAGGGGCATTTGACTTTAAAGGCGATGCTCCTACGTTCTGTGCAGCACCTTCTCCCTAATGGATATTTATTTTAAATAAATGCCATTTCTACTAATTTTGACGGCTATTTGCTTGAGTACCCCAACCCCAGTTTCCATTAGTCATTAAATGCTTCCCTGAGATTTAATATTTAGATGAATATTGCTGATTTTTGATAAACAGTTCATTGGAAAATATTTTTTAGGCACCAACAGATCTTTTATTGACAGAAAGACAATAAAACTTATAAGTATTAAAATTGGATATCTTCTTTATGAGATTTTTATAACATACAAATTTTAATGTCAAAAACTAATTTAAACATAAAAATTAGAGTAAACGTCATGAAATTTGAAAACAATTTTAGAAGTAAGCTTTGTTTAGAAAACATAAATAGCAGAGACACGGAATCAACCCAAATGCCCATCAGGAATAAAAGGATAAAGAAAATGTGGTACATATACACTATGGAATATTATGCAGCCATAAAAAAGAATGAGATCATGTCCTTTGGCTGGAGCTGGAAGCCATTATCCTCAGCAAACTATTGCAAGAACAGAAAACCAAACACAGCATGAAAAATATTTTTTTAAATTTAATGTTCATAGGCAAAATGCTATCAAAAGTGAAACTCTTATTCAGGCATGGTGGCCCATGCCTGTAATCCCAGAACTTTGGGAGGCCAAAGCAGGAGGAGTGTTTGACCCCAAGAATTCAAGAACAGCCTGGGAAACATAGCAAGACTCTGCCTCTACAAAAAATAAAAAATTCGCTGGGCGTGGTGGCACACAACTGTAGTCTCAGATACTTGGGAGGCTGAGGCAGGAGGAGTGCTTGAGCCCAGGAAGTTGAGGCTGCAGTGAGCCCTGATCACACCATTGCACTCCAACCTGGGTGTCAGAGCGAGATCCTGTATCAAAACAAAACAAAAAAACAAACAAATGAACAAAAACAACTCTCAAAAAAGCCATTTGTGATTATGATGGTGTTGTATTTCATAGATGTGATTTTGTTGAGATAAAATTTGTTATAAGTAGGAAAAAATGCAATCCCTATTTTGGAGAATTGTCACCCTTTAGTTCCCTGTGAGAAAATAAACGAAGTTCAGTGGACTTTATTAACCTCCTCTTTGGGGCTGAGATGTGGTATTTTTTTTTTTCCAACACCAAGAATCTCAGGCATAATTTTAAGAAGTCACTGATGAAACTGAACTTCAGGTACAAAAGATTCTGTTAGACAGTTCACTTTTTTCTCTTTTTATTCATTGCAGAGAGTTGGAACTTGAAGTGGTAAGTTTAACACTGCACAGGGTAAGGGAAGAAGCATTGGCCTAGACCAAGCTTGAGTGTGCACCACCGTCACCTGGAGGGCTTGTTCCAGCACGGAGGGCTGGACCCACCCCCAGAGTTTCTGATTTATTAGGTCTGTGCTGGGCCCTGAGAATGTTTATTTAAAACAAATTCCTGGATGCTACTGGTTCGGTTGCCACACTCTGAGACCCACTGGCCTTGAGCTTAGAAGACGTGGGTTTGATTTCTGGATTCCACAGTTTGCTAGCTATAACTTAGGGAATTTAAATTACTTACCTGAGTCTTGGTTTCTGATTTGTAAACTGAACTGTAAACTACCTGTTCTTCTCATTTTATAAGACTTTTGTGAGGATAAAAGAATCCATATGCAAATTATTTAAAAACCTGTCGTTGTTGTTGTTACTAGTATTATTGTGAAAGAAGCTGTTGATTTATGTCATCCCGAGCTAGGAGCTGACAGAACATTTGGGTTGCACAAGGTCTGCTGGAGCACTTTAGAGAATTCCAGATGAATCTTGATTGCATCCTGGAATGTACCGCTGGAGCCCTGGGGACCAGCATGGGACATGAGTGAAGACAAGATGGGCTCTACTGTCCTCTAGACCTGCATATGTGTGTTCGAATCCTGACTCCATGGGGCTTGAGTCTGTATCCCTCTGGAAAAATGGGAATAAAAGTGCTTACCTTATGGGTTTATTCTGAGGACTATTTTAGATAATGCATTTAAAGAACTTGCTCAGTGCATAGCACATCACGGGCACTCACTAAATATTAGCTCTTAATATAGTTATGAAAACTAAACCCAGTGGGGAGAAAATGCAAGGCCATCTTGGTAATGAGGGAGTCAGCTCTCTGAGCCCAAAAGACCATATTCCAGGGCCAGGCATAGTGGCTCACACCTGCAATCCTAGCACTTGGGGAGGCTGAGCCAGGGGATAACTTGGGGCCAGGGGTTTGACACTAGCCTGGCTAACATGGAAAAACCCCATATTTACTAAAAATGAGAAAACTTAGCTGGGTGTGGTGGCACACACCTGTGGTCCCAGATACTCAAGAGGCTGAGGCATGATAATCGCTGGAACCTGGGAGGTGGAGGTTGCAGTGAGCTGAGGCTGTGCTACTGCATTCCAGCCTGGGTGACAGTGCAAGAAAAAAACAAAAGACCATATTCCAATGCTGCCGCTCTGAGAGAGCAGTTGGATTCATTGACCGCCCAGGTTGCTTCCGAATGAGATCCTAATGTCAGCACAAAGCAAATGCATCTAGTCAGTTGCCAGCAGCCAGGGCTGTTTTCCCCAGTCTTCCCTTATGACTGATAGCTACACCATTCATTTCTTTGCTACAACCTACCTTGTAATTATTAAGGAACACTTTCTGGAATTCCCTAGCAGGCAGAGCACTGACAATAGAAAACTGAAAATAAATGGAGATTAGTCCACAGAGCTCTTCATTTTCCCTTGGATTATGTGACAGTTGAATCAAGCCTAAACTAGACAATGCATGGCAACACAATGAGCTCTGCACTAACAAACGCCAGATAAGCTCTGGCAGTCTGCTTTGGGTGGGTGGAAGTTCCAGGCTTGCAACACCCTGTAGAAAATAGAAGCAACAACTGGAGCACAATTGCTGACCCAGTCGCTAAACCTGATGCCAAGTCATGGGGCTGGAATGCAGCTCAGTTCCACACTAGAAAGCCTTTTCTCTTATGCTTCATGGTGATTAGAAGTTATTCACTCAGGCTGCAAGTCTTCTTGCACATCACATGAACTAACACTTTGCCATTCAACTTGACAGCACAAATGATACGATGGGCAGGGTGTCCTCAAACATGCGTGCCTGTTCCTGTGATAGCAAGTGGTTGACTCAGCAAGAATGGAAGAGAACTTGCTCAGCTTTGAGCTTTCTCCTCTTCACTGGGTTTATGCAAGCTAGGTGGGTCGCAGGACAGGTGAGGAAAGGTGAGGGTGAGGCATTTCAATGTTATCTGAGAACACTAGTTGCCTCCCTTGACATTCCTTGCTAGCAAATGTGAAAATGCGATACCCTGTGTGAATGTGCCTACTCTGTCCTGTCCTTTCCCCTAAGATGTGAGGAGTGAGATCCCCTTATTATTAAGTTTTCCAGTGGAAATGCCCACTGTGGTTGCAGGATAATGCACCACCCATTTTGTACACAACTGATTTTTTCTGATTTGATGTAAACTTGTGACTTTTCTGCCCTTCACTGCCCAATTACTTCTAATTCTGAGGACTTTTTCTCACATTCTTCCCTGGTTTCGGTCTCTGGAGCACTGACTTCCTTTCCATGTAATTCACTGCCAGCTTTCCCAGTGACCTCCAGGTTCTTAATCTTCTGGTGTCTTCCATTTGGATAAGCTCTGTCTTCATATGGTCTCAGCCACTCCCCAGGAGGCTTGGCCACAACTCAGATCCACTCCATTTTTCAGGATGGCACATTTGGAAATCCCTTTCTTTTCTGACTCCCTCCTTCCCTCTTTCTGCTATGCTTTTGCTTTTCATCTTTCTTGACTTCTGCTGCATAGTCCTTACCTGGTCACCTACTCCAGCACTGCATTTGGTTCCATTCTCCCACATCAGTCTGAAATCACCGGTCCATCATTCAGTTGAGGGTCACCCTGCAATCCTCTTCCGTGCTGTCTCTCAAATCTGTCTTCTCTTCCATTCCTCCAGGTGCTCTCTAAGACACTTGCAAGGATCTCCCACCTCGTCTCCTTATCTTCCAATCTGCTCTGCTCTAATCTGTATTAGTTTAGGAGGATCATCCTGCTTTTGAAACTCCAAGAAAGCTTCCAACTCTTACCCACCAAAGCCCTTCTACTTCTTGCTCTAAGTCTCACCCAAGCTCTTTCCTCTCCTTTGAAATGCTCTCTCTCATCTCTGCCTCAAAAATACCATCTGTTCTTTCTAAAGACCATCTCAAATAACATCTTCAGATTCCTGAAACTTTACTTGACTCCCTCTTGGTGTCCATCCTAGCTATAATGGTTTATATTTTTGTTTTATCTCCTCTGCAATGTGATCGGTGGAAGGTTGATGAGCTCTGGACTTAGAGAGAGATCTGGTATAAGTTATCGGTATTTACCAGTTGTGTCATCTTGGGCAAGTCACTCCGTTTTGCTAAGACTAAGTGTTGGAAGCAGATGCTCGGTGTCGCAAAGAAAAATCAGCACCGAGACAACAGATCTCTCAGCAAAGCAATTTTTACTTCCTGGGCTGCAGGAAGGCTACTCTCGCTAGCCATTTTGCCGTGATTTAAACTAAAACCCGATTGGCTAACAACTTAAAACTTTTCTAAACAGGTAAAAGCAGTGGCGAGCTGGGACATGCCTGTGAGCACATCCAGCACAGACATCTCAGGTAAAGTACAAGGACACAGAATGTACTACGTGCCTGTAAACATGGCATGTCTAACAGCTACATAGGATAGGGCTTAACAAAGAGTTATTAGCACACGTATGATTTATTATTTAACAAGAAAGAACATTTTAAAGAGGAACTTCACTACTTTCTACACTAAGTTTCCCCCTTTGTATAAAGGGCTGATGCTATCAAGCTCATGGGATTGTCAGGATTAAATGAGATGCTAAAATGACTGCCATATGAAAGCCCTTCAGTAAATATTATTTCTTGTCTTTTTCCCCGTTCTGTGCATCCTTGAGGTATGAGATTATCCCTACTCATTTGGTTTCCTTGGAAGGCCAACAGTGCTTGACGCCTAGTAGGCTATCAATAAATAATTACTGCATTCATATCATCTGTCCGTTTTCATATTGAAAGCTAGCGCTCCAGAGAATGTATTTTTCATTTGCAGCTCATTTCCTACTTAATTCTGGCAAGTTTAAAGCAGAATATTCTTTATATACTAAGCAGTTAACAGAGAAATCTAGTACTAACAATTCTTTCTTGTCTATTGAGAAAGACTAGCGGCTATGTGGTCTATGTCTGGCTTGGAGTTAAAGAGAAAATTTTTAAGTGTGTGTGACAAAAACTCATAATAGTGACATTTGAGAAGCTTCCTTTTCAGCTTATTGATTCAACACGACCCAATAGGATTGGGGCTAGTCATGGCCCTCTCCGAGTTTCAGAGCCAATAGGAAATGAGCTGGGAGCACTGATTCACTTCCTTAAGTGTGTGTGTGGTGCGGCTTGGTGTAGGGAATAGGGATTCCTGTTACAAAATCTAGTGATACTGCAGCATTCCTGGCTAAAGAAGTGCTTCTTTTAGGAAAAGCTAAGCTTCAAGCTAGATATGTTTGTCAAAGGTTTCATGATGTGGAACAAAGATTATTGAATTTGGAGTAGTGCAGAGGCTTGGCCTCAAATCTGAGTTGCACTACACAGCAGTGGAACCTCGTGCACATTACTTGAACCTCTTTCTCTTTTAAAAGGCGAGCACAATACTCACATCACAGATTGTTGTAAGGATCGAAGCCATGCTTATGAATGCACCCTGTAGAGTGCATGACATATACAGAGAAAGCAGTTCACAAATGTTAGTTTTGGAATGCCAAAATGTGTAGAGAACTTCCTGTAAAAGAAAGACCTAGTTTACTTTGCAGAAATGCAATTGTATGCACTATGTTATTGTCCATATGCCTGTGTGATAGTTTTTATGCCTCAACGTGGCTAGGCTCAGGTGTTTGGTCAACAGCCGTCTAGAAGTGGCTGTGAAGGCATTTTTTAGTTATGACTAACAGTTCAATCAGCAGACTTTAAGCAAAGCAGATTACTCTCCATAATGAGAGTGAGTTTCATCTAATCAGTTGAAGGCCTTAAAAAGAAAAACAAAAACAAAAACAAAAAACTGTGGTCCCCCAGGGAAGGAGGAGCTCTGCCTCCTGTCTGTCTTCAGACTAGAGCTGCAACATCAGTTCTTCTCTGAGTCTCTAGCCTGTTGACTCTGCAAATTTTGACTTGCCTGCCCCCAAAATTGCATGAGACAGTTCCTTAAAATAAATCCCTATTTACCTATTTATCTGTCTGTCCTGTTGGCTCTGTTTCACTAGGGAAGCCTAACTAATTCAGCCCACCTTGCTCCCTGCATAGTAATTGAATATCAGGAACTGTATCTAACTCATCTTCACATCCCCAGTACCTAGCACAGTGCCAAATCTATAGCAAATATTCATGCTTATTGAACTGCAGAGAATAGCGGCTCACATTCAGACACTATTTTATAAAAGTAGTACTTGCAGGCCGGGCACAGTGGCTCATGCCTGTAATCCCAGCACTTTGGGTAACCAAGGTGGGTGAATCAAGAGGTCAGGAGTTTGAGACCAGCCTGGCCAACACGGTGAAGCCCTGACTCTACCAAAAATACAAAAAATTAGCTGGACGTGGTGGCGCACGCCTGTA